AGTCAGAAATTTTAAATAAAATCAGGATGTATTACAAATCTCTCTATACTTCTGTAGATGCAGAACTTCTCGACATAGATCTTGCAGAAATTATAACAGTTACTGAGGTTCCAAAACTTGAAAACCATATTGCCAATACACTTGAGGGAAAAATTTTGGAAAATGAAGTCTTAGAGGTGTTAAAAAACATGAAAAACAATAAGTCACCCGGAAGTGATGGCTTTCCCGCAGAATTTTTTAAATTTTTTTGGTCAGATTTAAAACATTTTACAGTACTTGCCATAAATGACATATTTCAGAGGAAAGAACTTCCCATTTCTCAAAGATTAGGGTTAATTACATGCTTACCAAAAGATGATAAGCCAAGAGAATTTTTGAAAAACTGGTGACCTATCACACTTTTAAATGTGTTTTATAAACTTTTATCAGGTTGTATTAGTCATAGAATAAGATCCGACCTGGACAGTATCATATCAAATACTCAACTTGGATTTTTAAAAGGAAGATATAAAGGTGAAAATACCAGATTTCTTTATGATCTTATGGATTACACTGAATCTAGAAATATCCCGGGATTGCTTGTACTTATAGACATCGAAAAAGCTTTTGATTCAATATCCTGGACCTTTGTGTATAAAGTATTAGAATTTTTTGGGTTTGGTAAAATCATTATTGAATGGGTAAACAATTCTAAATACAAAATTTTGTGCGTCGGTGCTTCAATGTGGATTTTATCCGAACAGTTTTATATCCAAAGAGGATGTCGTCAGGGAGATTCCTTGGCACCTTATCTGTTTCTTCTTTGTGCAGAAATTCTTGCAATTATGATCAAACAAAATCAAAGTATTAAAGGAATTGTTATTAACAAAACAGAACATAAAATATCCCAATATGCAGATGATACCTGGCTTGCCCTTGACGGTTCACCTAAATCACTTTTTGCAGCATTAGATACAATTGATTTTTTCTCAAAGTTTACAGGACTTAAAATTAACAGCTCAAAAACTAAAATTGTTTGGATAGGTTCAAAAAAATTCTCTAATCAAGTTTTCCATCATTCTCGCTGGAAACTTGAATGGGGTTGTACAACTTTCAATTTACTTGGAATTAATTTTTCAGTAGAACTAGATAAAATTATTGATTTAAACTACAATGTTCAAATACCAAAGATCAAAGCATTAATTCAGCAATGGAAAAGAAGGGTTCTTACTCCTATTGGCAGAGTTACAGTTCTTAAAACATAAGTTTTACCAAAACTTAACCATCTTTTTATATCTTTGCCAAATCCAAGTAAAAAAACTGTATCATTATTGAACAGAGAAGTCTTAGAGTTTATATGGAAATCAAAATGTGATAAAATTAAAAGGAAAGTTATTACTCAGGATTTTTTACAAGAAGGGTTAAAAATGTTGGATATAAATAACTTTATTACATCTCTTAAATGCTTCTGGATTAAAAGATTAACAAAAAGTAATCAATCATGGAAAGATATTTTTTTGGCAATTAATGGTAAAGACATATTGCATAAAGCTTTTGATTTTGGCGAAGAGTATGTGTCTTGCTTTATTGTAAAAAATAACAACATTTTTTGGAAAGATGTGTTTAATTCACGGTTATATTTCATGAAAACACTCAACAACAATTCATATATAAAAACTAAGTTTCTAAACTTACCTGTGTGTTACAATCCCAATTTAAAAATTGGAAACAAAATAATGTTTGTAAAGACTTGGTATGTAAATGGGGTTAAAAGTGTTTGTGATTTTTTAGACAATGAAGGAAATTTTTTAAATGTAACTGATTTTGGAAATAGATTTCATTTGTCTAATGTTTGCATCATGCAATATAACAGTATTATTTGTGCTATATCCAGGTATTTAAAAACAATGTCTGTAGATAAATCATCTGTTAAGAGGGAATGTACCCCTGTTATTCCTTTTTAATTTGAAAATATTATTGTATATGAAAAGTGCACTAAAGTTATTTATAGATATTTGAATAGTAACAACATCATTCCTACATCAATATTTAGATGGAACCAGGAACTATCTATGCTTTTAGAATCTGATATTTGTGTTCAATATGTTTTTAAGGTTTGTTTCAGAACAACTATGGATACTTCTGCTCAATGGTTACAGTATAGAATCCTACGTAGAATCCTTCCAGTGAAACACTATTTGAAGAAAATAAGTATTTTATCTGATGAACTTTGTACCTTTTGTAAACAGGATATAGAAACAATACAACATATATTTTTAAATTGTACAAAAATTTCTTCATTATGGAGCAATCTTAGCATGCACATATTTACAAAAACTTCTAAAAGAGTGGGATTTAACATATGCAATATTATTTTAGGTGAAACGCCATTTTTTTATCATAATAGGGTGATAAATTTCATTATTTTATATTCAAAGCAATATATCTTTTCTTGTTTAAAGCAGAATAAAATGCCTATGATTACTGGGCTGCTACATCATTTAACTCTTAAGTACAAAGTAGAAAAATGCATATCCATTCAAAATTTTACAATGAACAATTTTGATAATCTATGGTCACAATGGATAAATATTTTTGAGTTATAAACACTTATTTAAACACCAACTTTAAATATTTCTCGAATTTTATATATTTTATATTTCATTCTTGTTTAAATTCAGAGGGGAAGTGTAAATGTGTGTGTGAATGTGATTAAAAAACTTATGTAACTTTACATGTCACTTCTTGAAATAATAATAATAATAATAAAAACAGTTCTAATAGATGTAATAAGAACATAAAGTCCGCCGAGAACCTGTTTTATACGCAATAACTCTCCTCATGCCCCTGAGCTAAAAATAGCGACATGTAATACAATGAATACTAATAAAACAAACGGGGCGGGGCACTTTGAGACGGGCGAGAGACGTCCTAGGGAGTTTTGATATAAAATTACATTGCATAAGCTCAAAATCTTCTTGAAATATCGCCCGGAAATAATAGTATTTCACACAGACAGAATGTATAAATTTACGACCTTGAACTTTGACCTTTTGACATCAAAATCAATACGGGTCTTCATTAGGGCACAGGGAGTTGTTATATAAAATTTCATTGCAATAGCTCAAATGGTTCTACAGATATCGTGTGGAAACGAAAGTGTTTTAACAGACAGAATTTGCTTATTTATGACCTTGACCTTTTGACCTCAAAATCAATAGGGGTCTTCTTTAGTCCACAGGGAGTTCCTATGCTAAATTTCATTGCAAAAGCTCAAAGGGTTCTCGAGATATCGTGTGGAAACGAAAGCGTTACAGACAGAAAGAAAGACGGACAGACGGACGGACAAACCCAAATTAATATCCCCCAATTTTCAAGCGGGGGACAAAAAGGGCAGAAATATTAATAATTTATAATAATTGATTATTAATTACATATTATTGATTATAAATAAAATTATTAATTGATATTGGGGAAACCCAAAAATATGTGTCTTCAAAAAGAAAAATAGGAGGTGCACAATGGCAATGTATAGTTATGATTCTGTGAAATTTTCATAAAATTTCAATCGGTGGTATGAGAAGAGCTGCGGATAAGAGATAGGTACCTCAAAGCTTTACAGACAGACAGTCATCCCGACTACTACTGTGAACCAATTTTTATTCACGTGCGAGAAATATCCTTGCGTGCCGCAGTCTACTTTAATTCGCGAATATAAAACGCCGCGAACCATTCATTTTGATATGCATTTGTAGAAAATGTTTGCTCAGTCGCAGAAATTCATTCGTTGCGAATTGATTTTTAACTGACAAAACGCGAATAAAATGTGACCCGAATAATACTGTGTACAAGGGTAATTTTCGCTCCCGTTTTATTTTCGCCCGATTCGCTTTCTCCTTGATAAGACGAATTTAAAACGGGGGGAAATCAAATTACACCGCATAATTTCTTAAACAGAACTATGACTGGGCGAATTTAAAAGGGGCAAACTTGTTCACAAGTTCAAAAAGGCGAAAATAACACGGGGCGAAAATAACCCTGTATACAGTAGTTGGTTTACAGAATATACAGTGCCCTTTTTCAAGCGGGGGTATAAATTTCATTGAAAGTATGACACACTAACCAATATTTAAGTCAACAAACTCCTTGTATTAGATAATACCCCCTGCTTGAACTAAGCTCTATCGTCAACTTCCCTTACTTATGCAGCAATATTACCTAATACGGATTTTATATACCTCAGTTTATTCTAGAAGCAAGAGCACATTCTAAAACGAGGTAAATTATTCACAGACAAGTTGATGAAACAAAAATTTCAGCAGTCTCTTTTAATATCCTCATTTCGTAAGTTCTATGGTGGATACAGTGATCTGACCTTGTCAAATGCTGACTAACGTTTTTCAAGTGAAATACACCGGTCTACAAAAGAGAGGGCAAAGAAGGGACCTTGTTACAAGACGAATTGATGGAAGAAACCTGTGATTATCCCAAAATGATTATGTGTATAACGTAAGCACATGATTCGAGATCACGGACTGTGACAAGCCGAGCGAATATGTATTCCTATAAATAAAGAACATTTTGAGGTATTGACTGATCGATGTGTTATGTGTGGTTCAATAAATATTAACAAACACAATGCATCATACGCAGCTGTAACTTGAATCGCTGCTAAGTTTTTGTATTGCTTGTGTAATGACTCGGCACTTTTAGAGACGCACAGATTACGTATTTCTTGAGCTGGTTTCTTCCAGATCAAGGGAGAGATAGGGATGATCTTTCCTGGATGTGTACTAGCTTAACCTCCTTATCCCACAGGGGATACTCAGTAAGTGAACTCAGTTGATTAACCTACGCTATTTTTATTTGTTACTTTTTCTTTTTCAACATAAGATTTAAGACACTGTGAAATGTAAACCGGTATTGATATAGACCGTTGTTTGTATTTATTTTCTTCTCTCTCTCTCTCTCTCTCTCTCTCTCTCTCTCTCTCTCTCTCTCTCTCTCTCTCTCTCTGGTTTTTATTGTACACGTTCCACTTTTCCCTTACCTAAAGTTCCCGTAGCAGGTTCGGCCAGAAATAGTTGATACTTGTCTGCCTCATCAGATATGGAGAATTGATTGTACAACTGGTACAGTGTTGTACCATTCACAAGTGTGATGGAGATGTAGAGGGAGGAGTTCTTTCCCTTTGTTAGCTGATGGATGGCGTCATTTCCTGTATAAATTGAATTTTGTAATTGTTAAATTGTCGAGAGAAGTATGTAATACTCGAACGCTTTATGATCGATAACTTATCCTTTACAACGTTTCATATGTAGATATTGAATTGTTATATTAAAAAAAATTAGTCTTATAAAGTTAACATTTGTTCTTTTATTAAATTTATTGTAAAGTTAAGTTACAAGCGGTTAATGAGTATTGTTGAATTTGTATAATCTTGTTTAAAAATTAGATCAAACTTTGATGTCAAATCTGAAAATACAGTACAAATTTCATTTATAAAAATCTGCAACGCATAAAAGATTCGAATTTACCTATCCAAACATTCCGTTCAGGTACACCGAAACCATTCTTATAGTCAGCCCAATTCTTTTCAAAGGACACAGACCCGTCTATTCGTTTTTGAATGGCCTTGAAAAGATAAACAAAAACAATACGAGTCCTAAAAGGATTAGTCCATATCGTTTAATAATCAATCTATCTGTCTTTACGTCCGTCTGTCATTCTTCCGTCAACAAAATTTCTCCTTTTTAGGTCCCCCTAGTTGCTTTTTCCTAATTTTAGCTCTGTTGGTCAGAGACCAGAAGAGCGGATGCGATAGTAATGTGCCGTCTGTCTGTCTGGAGACATTCTTTTTTCAAAATGCTACTCCTTTTACAGTTTCTGTCTGATTTCAATATAACTTGGCACACAAGTAAACTAAAAAAGACAAACTATACTGTACATCTTTTTTTTTTATTTCTATCCAAAAACAGTTTTCGTCTGATTATAATGCAATGTGGCTGAAACGCGGGTAGACTACACTAAGATACATTACTATCTTTTAAAATTTATTTTTGAATGATGTTGCCATGGTGACTCGCATTGATTATTCTGTAAAATTTTATTAAAGCCACTCCTACATTACAGTTGTGGTCTTATTGCTATATTGCCACAAAAAGTGACTTAATCAAGGCTCTACATTCTATTTATTGCTGTTTTAAATTTTTCTTCTCTTCCTTTGTTATAAGTATCAATCAGTAGAGATACAGTCTTGACAGAGACTTTTGCTGCAGTTTTTACAATCTGACATATTATTAAATTCACATTTCCTAAGCTGCGTTCTTAGATTTCAACCCCTGAGCATGGCCCTTACTGACTAGTCAGTTACATAATTACTGTATGAGTACGTAATTACGAGTATTCAAAATTTAGTGTTACAAATGAGTATAGAGTTGTTTGCGTAATCATAAATTAGGGTTTTGTGTATTATATATATACAAATGATTTCTTAGCGGTCTTCAGGCATTAGCACATTGTTGTCTCCGCTAAAATATGAAGCCCGCTTTTTAAAGTACAAAAAGTAATTTTCCAATTACTGTGTAGAACATTTGCTTGAAATATATGCATTTGAACAGGTATCACACTTAGCTACTGGACAACAAGCATCACACTAAGCTATGGACCACAGGTATCACAGTTACATTTACCTATTGGACTCTGCTATCACACTTGCTATTGGACCACAGGTTTCACACTCAACTATTAGACCACAGGTATCACACTTAGCTATTTGACCACAGGTTTCACACTCAGCTATTAGACCACAGGTATCACACTTAGCTATTGGACCAAAGGTTTCACACTTAACTATTGGACCACAGGTATCACACTTAGCTATTGGACCACAGGTTTCACACTTAGCTATTGGACCACAAGTATCACACTTAGCTGTTGGACCAAAGGTTTCACACTTAGCTATTGGACCACAGGTTTCACACTTAGCTATTGGACCACAGGTTTCACACTTAGCTATTGGAGCAAAGGTTTAACACTTAGCTATTGGACCACAGGTATCACACTTAGCTATTGGACCACAAATATCACACTTAGCTGTTGGACCAAAGGTTACACACTTAGCTATTGGACCACAGGTTTCACACTTAGCTATTGGACCACAGGTTTCAAACTTAGCTATTGGACCACAGGTTTCACACTTAGTTATTGGACCAAAGGTTTCACACTTAGTTATTGGACCACAGGTTTCACACTTAGTTACTGCACCACAGGTTTCACACTTAGCTATTGGACCACAGGTATCACAATTAGCTATTGGACCACAAGACCACACTTAATTATTGCACCACAAGTTTCACACTTAGCTCTTAGACCACAATAACACTTAGCTATTGGACCAAAGGTTTCACACTTAGTTATTGGACCACAGGTTTCACGCTTAGCTAGTGGACCACAATAAAACTAAGCTATTGGACCACATGTTTCACGCTTAGCTATTGGACCACAATAACACTAAGCTATTGGACCAAAGGTTTCACACTTAGCTATTGGACCACGGGTATCACACGTAGCTATTGGACCACAGGTTTCACACTTAAGTATTGGACCACAGGTATCACACTTAAGTATTGGACCACAGGTTAAACGCTTAGCTATTGGACCAAAGGTGTCACACTTAGCTATTGGACCACAGATTTCACACTTAGTTATTGGACCAAAGGTTTAACACTTAGCTATTGGACCACAGGTTTCACACTTAGCTATTGGACCAAAGGTTTCACACTTAGCTATTGGACCACAGGTATCACACGTAGCTATTGGACCAAAGGTTTCACACTTAGCTATTGGACCATAGGTATCACACTGAAGTATTGGACCACAGGTTTAACGCTTAGCTATTGGACCAAAGGTATCACACTTAGCTATTGGACCACAGATTTCACACTTAGTTATTGGACCAAAGGTTTAACACTTAGCTATTGGAGCACAGGTTTCACACTTAGCTATTGGACAACAGGTTTCACACTAAGCTATTGGACCACAGGTTTCACACTTAGCTGTTGGACCACAAAATCAATGAATCTAGTAAATAGTTTCTAAATGAACTACATGTACATACCGTCCATCCTCCGCCCCGAGTTGACATGTCGCAGTACACACGGACAGGGCGACAGTTCACACCAAATGGATAAATTACGTAAACTCCTGAACCATGGTGACCATTATGACGAATGTCCTCACAATCCACGGGAAGATCTGAAACGGAAAAAAATCTGCCGACATTCATTTTTATGTGTGTGATTACACATCATAAAAATATATAGTAGATACACAGGTGTATACAGGAACAAAGGAGTAGATACATAGATGAATACAGGAACAAAGAAGTAGATACACAGGTAAATACAGGAACTAAGGAGTAGATATACAGGTGAATACAGAAACTAAGAAGTAGATACACAGGTGTATACAGGAACTAAGGAGTAGATACACAGGTGTATACAGGAACTAAGGAGTAGATACACAGGTGTATACAGGAAGAAAGAAGTAGATACATAGGTGTATACAGGAACTAAGTAGTAGATACACAGGTGTATACAGGAACTAAGGAGTAGATACACAGGTGTATACAGGAACTAAGGAGTAGATACACAGGTGTATACAGGAACTAAGTAGTAGATACACAGGTGAATACAGGAACTAAGAAATAGATACACAGGTGAATACAGTAACTAAGAAGTAAAATCAAGGTAAATACAGGAACTAAGGAGTAGATACACAGGTGTATACAGGAATTAAGGAGTTGATACACAAGTGTATACAGGAACAAAGAAGTAGATACACAGGTGAATACAGTAACAAAGAAGTACATACAAAGTAAATACAGGAACTAAGGAGTAGATATACAGGTGAATACAGGAACTAAGAAGTAGATACACAGGTGTATACAGGAACTAAGGAGTAGATACACAGGTGTATACAGGAACTAAGGAGTAGATACACAGGTGTATACAGGAAGAAAGAAGTAGATATATAGGTGTATACAGGAACTAAGTAGTAGATACACAGGTGTATACAGGAACTAAGGAGTAGATACACAGGTGTATACAGGAACAAAGGAGTAGATACACAGGTGTATACAGGAACTAAGTAGTAGATACACAGGTGAATACAGGAACTAAGAAATAGATACACAGGTGAATACAGCAACAAAGAAGTACATACAAAGTAAATACAGGAACTTAGGAGTAGATACACAGGTGTATACAGGAACTAAGGAGTAGATACACAGGTGTATACAGGAACTAAGAAATAGATACACAGGTGAATACAGTAACAAAGAAGTAGATACACAGGTAAATACAGGAACTTAGGAGTAGATACACAGGCGTATACAGGAACTAAGAAGTAGATACACAGGTGTATACAGGAACTAAGAAGTAGATACAAAGGTGTATACAGGAACTAAGAAGTAGATACACAGGTGTATACAGGAAGAAAGAAGTAAATACACAGGTGTATACAGGAACTAAGGAGTAGATACACAGGTGTATACAGGAATTAAGGAGTTGATACACAAGTGTATACAGGAACAAAGAAGTAGATACACAGGTGAATATAGTAACAAAGAAGTAGATACAAGGTAAATACAGGAACTTAGGAGTAGATATACAGGTGTATACAGGAACTAAGGAGTAGATACATAGGTGTATACAGGAAAAAAGAAGTAGATATACAGGTGTATACAGGAACTAAGAAGTAGATACACAGGTGTATACAGGAACTAAGGAGTAGATACACAGGTGTATACAGGAACTAAGGAGTAGATACACAGGTGTATACAGGAACTAAGAAGTAGATACACAGGTGAATACAGGAACAAAGAAGTAGATACAAGGTAAATACAGGAACTAAGTATTGGATATATGCCGAATACAGTTCTGTATTAAAAAATATCAGACAGTTTGAGGCCCGTTAGGGCCGAAAACTGTCTGATATTTTTTAATACAGAATTGTATGAGGCATATATCGTACTTAAAACATTGCTTTTGAGTTACCTGAGACAGTCCGATATTAGAACAAAAGATAAAGGTGTTAATGACCACTGAAGCAGCAGACTTAAATGAAAAGTACTCAGTATTTAGGGATTTGGCTACACTGAAGAAAGTATTTGAAATAATTTGAAATGGAGAGTGGGGACAAAATTGCATACACGGAGATTAAATCAGTGAAACGAATTATCATATACAATCTAGTGAATGATGAATTTGGAATGAAGGGAAATTGACGATATGAAGAATATTTACAGAAAATGATGCAGATGCTAAAGGTACACTAGTCCATTACATTTTTTATGATAAGCGTCTACATATACCTATGTTTTTGATATTTCATAATACAAAAAAAAACAAATATAATCAATAATCCAGGAGTTTTGAGGGAAACGTTGAAAACTTCAAATTTCTTTCAAAATTTGTTGCGAATCTTTCAAATTGAGTATTAATTATCATATACTAGGCCTAGTCACCTTGATTTTGCATCTATATGCATTTTCCTTTTAATAAGAAAAATGAAATTTGTGTTTTATTATGAATTTATTTTTTGGGCTTTGAAAGTTTATTTGCTTCTCTGGTGACCCCCAGTGTGCCCGCTCTTTTTCAAAAACAAGAGAAAGGGGTTGAAACATTTTTCCAATTTTAATAAGTTTATTAGAAGTTTACCCGTTTTTGTGGTTTTTTATGTTTGTTTTTACTTTGCATTATCTGGTCTGCCGCATGTTCTTCTTCCTATCACACTACATTCGATGTAAATGAAAGTTTGATTATTTTTTTTGCAATTCTGTAAGTGCAATGTTTCTAAATCATCATGTGAGAAATTTAAATTGTTGTTTGTTAAATTATTACACTTTTTATTTCTTTTGTTCAGTAGCAGTCCGATTTTGAAGGATATCAGTACTGAGACAGTCTGATATTACGATTAATATCAGACTGCTCACTAATATCGGACTGCCACAGGTAAAATTTTAGACTGCAAGAACAAAGGAATGACATCACAGCAATGTTTTAAGGAGTAGATACACAGGTGTATACAGGAACTAAGGAGTAGATACACAGGTGTATACAGGAACTATGATGTAGTTACACAGGTGTATACAGGAACTAAGAAGTAGATACACAGGTGTATACAAGAACAAAGTAGTAGATACACAGGTGTATACAGGAACTAAGGAGTAGATACACAGGTGTATACAGGAACTATGAAGTAGATACACAGGTGTATACAGGAACTAAGGAGTAGAGTAGATACACAGGTGTATACAGGAACTAAGGAGTAGATACACAGGTGTATAAGGATCTAAGAAGTAGATACACAGGTGTATACAAGAACTAAGTAGTAGATACACAGGTGTATACAGGAACTAAGGAGTAGATACACAGGTGTATACAGGAACTAAGGAGTAGATACACAGGTGTATACAGGAACTAAGGAGTAGATACACAGGTGTATACAGAAACTATGAAGTAGATACACAGGTGTATACAGGAACTAAGGAGTAGATACACAGGTGTATACAGGAACTAAGGAGTAGATACACAGGTGTATACAGGAACTAAGGAGTAGATACACAGGTGTATACAGGAACTAAGGAGTAGATACACAGGTGTATACAGAAACCATGAAGTAGATACACAGGTGTATACAGGAACTAAGGAGTAGATACACAGGTGTATACAGGAACTAAGGAGTAGATACACAGGTGTATACAAGAACTAAGTAGTAGATACACAGGTGTATACAGGAACTAAGTAGTAGATACACAGGTGTATACAGGAACTATGAAGTAGATACACAGGTGTATACAGGAACTATGAAGTAGATACACAGGTGTATACAGAAACTATGAAGTAGATACACAAAGTCAGTCCGATAGAATGAACTTAAACGAAATTTTATATAGAGACAAGGTGGACCAATATTTTAGGTGAAAAGAAATAAATACATGATTTTTAATCCAGAAAGATCAGTGGGGTACAACCTAAACAAACCGGATTAGCATTCTTTTCTCATCTTATAATGTATACATGTAGTGGGGTATTTTTTTTTTATGGAAGGATTATTTTCATTTTTTTTTTCACGATAATTTCTTAGTGTAAACTTGATAAATTAGATTCTAGAAATAGAATGATATGTGAAAAAAATATCCAATAAGCCCTGATGTTGAATATCGGGAGGGGTTTTCCTGTCGACAAGTATATGTGGTGCCCTGTTTACAAAAAGTGTGTACGTTTCATGAGTATGTTCAACTTGCTAAACTCTGTACACAACACTAAAGTTGGATTGATTGTATGTTGTTTAACGTCACTCTCGAGAATTTTTCACTCATGTGGAGACGCCACCACTTGTCGGTGGAGGGCTACAAATCTTGTGTTATGCTCGGCACTCAGGGCCTTTGAGTAGTGAGGGATCTTTTTCGTGCCAGCACCTACTGCGACACGGGGCCTCGGTTTATACGGTCTCATCCGAAGGACCGGTGTCCACGTCCCACGGTGGGATTCGAACACGCGACGTAAGGATTGACTCCTTACTTTGCGATTCTAGAGCAGACGTTCTAAACAAGGCGCCACGCGGGCGACTCACTAAGGTTGGAATGACGTTACTTGTGAAGGGGTTTTGCTCTACTCTTTAAAAATCTACTTCTTTACTTCTGGACATCAAGCAGCTAAACTTGTTAAATTCATGGCCCAAGGGATAGGGGTTCTTGTGTGAGGTGTGGGCTTAAACGAATTATAGTGAAAATGCATTATTTCTTCGAAAAAATCTTCTTCTTTGCTCCTGAGTAATAAATAAACTAACTAAATACAAAGTTATGATGAGCAAGAGTGCCTGAACCAAAATTGTGAATTTTATGGCCCCAGGGTCAGAAGCTCTGGTGTAAAGGCTGGGCTTTCTATTGATTATATAGTGAAATACATGAATTCTTTGAAACTCTTACTCTCTGCTCTTGGGTATTAAATAAACTAACTAAGTGCATAGTTATGATGAGCAAGAGTGCCTCTACCAAAATTGTGAATTTCAAGGCCTCAGGGTGAGGGGGTCTGGTGTGAGGGTGGGGCTCTATTTATTATATTGTGAAAATACACAAATTCTTTCAAAATCTTCTCTGCTCCAGTGTAATAAATAAAATAACTAAGTATATAGTTATGGAGCAAGAGTGCCTCTACCAAATTGTGAATTTTATGGCCCCAGGGTCAGGGGTTCTGGTGTTAGGGTGGGACTCTCAATTGATTATATAGTGAAAATACATGAATATTTGATATTCTCTGCTCCTGGGTATTAGATAAACTATTTAAGAGTCAAAATCAGCAAGCATCGAGCATTCAATGGAAAGTCAAAATTTTATTTTTTCAAAAGCTTTTGGTATATGAAAGATTTTGTCCTACCTAATGCTAAAACACAATTAAAATTTTTTTCGAACGTATGAAGGGACTGGTATCCAAGGAAATTAATTTCCTTAGCAACGGGCTCATAAATCCTTATGAAAATCAATGATTTTTAGACATTTCTCTATGAATATGTTTTCTGAACGTGATAAGATATGGTATTTTGGTTACTTTATTTGTTCAAAGATAGAATTATTTTATTCTTAAAAAATAGGAAAAAAAAAAATTCTGTAGTGATATTGTTGCCATGACAACGGGAAAAGAACATGGCGTCAATGCTTATTAATTTTGAAAAGAATTACATATGTTTATCACCATATACACAAAATCTACAACCACAGCTGGAAAAATGAATGCTGTGATCTTGTTAGGGGTTATCTATATGTCATATCTATACAATAAAATTTGCAGGCAACTTTAGCAGAAAAAAGTTACAAATGGTTAAAATGTGTGACAATCTGGCATTCATAAGCTTTTTTGAAGGGGTGGAGGTAAATTGAATACATGTACAGTGTCCATTATATTGGTCATATTGGTCTGATCAAAGCATATCCATATGTATGTAAAATTTTGACTTGTCCATTACATTTCAATGAAGCCCCACTGAAAGTTCAAACTTGATATTAAGATTGCTTATGATCTGGAGATGTGTCCAAAACTTGACCCAAGGTCATTTGAACAAGTTCAAGGTCATTGGTAGAAGAATAGTGCAATCTTTGCCCATGCTGTAATATTCTAATGAAAAGACTTGAAGTTTCATCTAGGGGATTATTAATTGAGCTGTGGGTTTGTCATGATCTTGACCAAAAATTCATTTGGACACGTTTGACCTTGACTCAACGACATAGCTTTTTCAAGGTCACTGCAGTAAAAGTGTTCTATTTATGAGTTTGGTACATTAACATAATTTATTTAACTTCGAATGAAGAGAAATTGGAAGTTTGTGTTCTACACAAAGGTTTTACTACCTATGACTTGAGTATATGTCATAGTTATTTGGGTATGTAAATCAGCAGTAGCAAAACGTTAAAAAGATTTGAAATAAATATTTTGACCTTTTTAATAATCAAAAAAAAACGTTTTATGTTATACCAGGAGGGTTGATATCATTTTATGAGCTCGCTCATTTTTGAGAGAGAGAGTCACTATAACAGCTCACATAATTTTAATATAAAACCATATCAATCTGGCATGTAGCATCAGGTTTGGTTGGGGGGGGGGATTGACATCCCCAACTCAATTTTTTTTTCTCAACATAAGCGTATGTTTAAACCCCCCCCCCCCTTGAGTTCATATATATATGAATATCTAAACTTGAACTGACCCTAAAAGATATTTCATATTAATAACTCTAAAAGGGTAATCTTTTGAATGGCATATATAAAAATTTTTGTTGTATTTATATTTACGTAAAAACATTTTGAAAACAATGTAGAAATCAGAAGAGAATGACAAATATGAATGTTTTTTTATATAATACCTAGAGATACAACACATAAATTTGAGGAACGTGTCATCTGACTTTAAACTAGCCCTCTTTCTTTTTTCTCACAAAAAACATTTTGTCAGTTTTGAAATTAATTGATTGATCATTTAATATTGACCTCGTTTTAATTATGACACTTCAAAATGCAGAATATAAAGATATGTTTCAGATTCTTCTACTAATCTAATTATGAATCTGCATGCCAAAAATTGATAGTTATTAGATTTACATCAACAAAAAATGCTAACAGACAAACCAAGAATGTTACTTTTCGATTAACCATTTTTTATTTGATCCACTTTCATGAATACACTGTACAATTTATGGATCTATTTTCTGGATCCTTGAGTCTCCAGTAACACTACCCACTAATTGAGATCAAGTCCAGCATCAATGATCTGTACTGTAATAATGTATTCTCATAATCTGAAAAAGTGATTAAATTAAAATGTAATAATATTATACAGCTTTGCCTTCATATACTTGGAACCATTTCTAGTTGGGCTTGAGCAATGATGCAAAGCATGTTTATTGGAATCAATTAAATTCCAAGAAATCTCAATGGTTTATCATTTTATTTTTAAAAAGTCAACGTTTTTACTAAATGTATTATTTACATGTTTTGCCTGTCTAATTCTATATCAGCTCGTCCAATTCTGTTTCTTTCCGAGTTTGGCTTCAAAGTGCCGAATTTCATTCTATAAACAGAAGTATTCAACACGAAGTTGAGACCGTATTAATCTTAGATATTCTTTAAATTTAAAAACTTGCAATTAAAAGGTCAACTGGTTCCATAAGTTTTGTCAAAACTCTAAATTATGTTTTTTATTTCTTTCCAATACCCCCCCTCCCAAGAAAAAATGGAGTATAGATATTCATTTCATAAATTTACGTGCTTTAAATCTATTGATGCTTATCATTTGAACCTAGTTGACCTAAATTAATTCAGTGGTACCGGAGAAAATATTAGCTGAATATGAATTTTCTTTTATTAGTAAACACTGGATGACATTAGCAAAAAGTTATTATTTTTTAAAATTAATTCTTTTATGGTGGTATATATACAATTCAGTTACCACTAATCCACTGCATAATACACTTGTCTGTATCACAATACTTCCAAGGTAATCCCCTTTCCTAAACTAAAATATATTAAGTACAGAGTTAACCCCCTGCCCCCTTTTCATATTTTTTTACGGACACCATAACAAAGGTCATTCCATTTTACAAATATTTCATATAGTGGTGGTTTTCATAAATTCATAATTTTTCATGTAAAGAGTAGGTATTATCTTAAATGGTAAATAAAGATATCTACTGAGCAAAAATTTTATTTACCCGACTATCAGTTATAATCATTATATCTTGTGATAGTGGTGAGTGACTTTGGTTACATACATTCCGTGAATACAACAAATTAAAATTAAACAAAATTCAAATTAAACTTTACATGTATAATTTTGGATACAGTTATGTGACTGATCATGACCAACTTTTTCACGTTAGGCCCGAAGATACAATCTAAGTTGGGATTTATTTCATTTGCTCATATTATAGTTAAATATTGGCTATATTTTTTTTTTGGAGGGGGGGGGGGTGCATACCACCCTCCTCCTGGTGGATTAAGTGGAGTTAACGGATATGTAGTTCCAAATTACGGCGGATATTCTTTCATATAGTTGTGATTTGGTTATATTTTACTGCTATAAATTAAAACAGGTCGACAGGTCGGCAGGTAAACATTTGCTAATATACAGGTCGGCAGGTCCGTCACAAGTTGGCAGGTAGACAGGTCGGCAGGTAAAATTTTGCTTATATTCAGGTCGGCAGGTCCGTCACATGTCGGCAGGTAGACAGGTCGGCAGGAAGAGATGTCGGCAGGTCGACAGCTAAGCAGTTTCTAGTTGGTCCTTGCACATTATTCGACAGATTAGGGTTAATCTAGCATCCACCTGAGAGATAAGGGTTAGTCTTCGCGCATTATTTGCCTGATTAGGGTTAGTCTTGCATCAATCCGAGAGATTAGGGTTAGTCCTCACACATTGTTCTACTGAATAGGGTTAGTCTTGCATCAATCCGAGAGATTAGGGTTAGACGTCGCACATTATTCTGTTGATTAGGGTTAGTCTCGCATCCATCTGAGAGATTAGGGTTAGTCCGCGCACATTATTCTACTGATTAGGGTTAGTCTCGCATCCATCCGAGAGTTAATGGTTAGTCCTCGCACATTATTCTAGGCCCCACTGATGGCCGACCTGTCTACCAGTCGATCCGCATACCTGCCGACCTGTCTACCTGATGACTTATCTACCTGCCAACCTGTCTACCTGCCAAACCGTCTACCTGCTGATCCTGACCCATCTTCCTGCTGACCTGTCTACCTGCCAACCCGTCTACCTGCCGACCTGTCTACCTGCCAACCCGTCTTCCTGCCGACCTGTCTACCTGCCGACCCGTCTGACGACCTGTCTACCTGCCAAACCGTCTACCTGCTGATCCCGACCCATCTACCTGTCTACCTGCCGACCTGTCTACCTGATGACCTGTATAACTACCGGTCAACCTGTTTACCTGCTGTCAACCAGCTGTGTACCTTTTTTTGTACACATATACTATCCGACCGAAATATGCGTATGAATATACAAATATAAATTATTGCGCCGAACTACTTTGTCCGTACTCTCCACTTGAGCCCTCCTTGTTCCTAAGGCCATGCATTATCTTTTCTTTTTTGTTATAAAATACTAAAGTAATGCTAACATAATAAATCAGAATTAAATTAAAATTTGCAAAAACATTTGCCAAGTGTTAGAT